AACTAAGCTAAATTATTATCAAAACAAAGTTCAAACAACTCTATATCATAGAGTTATCAATATGCAATTAAGGATGTAGCATCAGGTTTTGCATCTGATCATCATCCAATGATTGAGTAATAGGAGCCTCAAGCAGTTACGTCCCTTTAAAATGGATGTTAATGCCAGCATTGACGCCCCACTAGTCCCTCAGCACATGAAGCAAAGCTTCTAGGTTCTCCTACGCTGTTTTGGTGACCTGTAACAAAAAGCAGTTAATATTTCCATTTAGCATTTATAATCAAGGAAGATTTAAAAAAACAATAACTATTTACTATCTTTGCATACATAAAAGAAAATAAATGAAACATGTGTGAAGCATTAAGTAACAAAACAGATACATATTAAAGTATTAAAGCTGACCTAAAAAAAACATTAATATTCAATCAATGATAGTCACGTAATGCACTATAGAAAATAGTTATGAAATGCTTTATAAAACAATCAAGCAATGCCTTATCAACCAATCATGCAATGACTAAAAATCAATCATGTAATGATTAAAAATCGATCACTTAATGCCTAAAAACCAATCACGCAATGCCCTATCAACTAGTTACATAATATCTAAAACCCCAAATGCAATACCTAAAACTAGTCACACATGCCTTATCAACTAGTCACGCAAACCCTAAGTCACGTAATGCCTAAAACCCTTAAATCCAATGCTTAAAACCAATCACGCATGCCTTATCAACTAGTCATGCATGCTTTGTCCACATTCGAGCCAAAAACCACCAGCATTACCAAATTCAAATTTAAATTCAACTTCAAACAACAAGAATATGAAGAATATGAAGAATATGCTTACCTTTATGCTCAAAAACAAGAAATGAAGAACATGAAGAATATGCTTATCTTTTTGGATATGGTTAAAAATATATGCAATTTTATGGTTTAACTCAATGCATGGAATGTGAACTTTCTCTCAATTATATAATATGCCTACCTTTATGCTCAAATTACTCTATAATGCTTCTATCACTGCTAAAAATGCTAAAAAGTTTACCTATCGAGTAAAGCTCTGAAGAGGATGATTTGGAGATGAATGATATGTCAAGAAAAACAAAGGAGTTACAGAGGTTAAAAACTTGACCTAATCATATGCGTTGAGTTAAGACGCAGACCTAAACATATGGGTCAGTTTAATTAATGGTAAATTTGTTTAAATTAATTCTCTTGGTTAGAAATAATTAAAATTATGAAGATAACTATTTTCAAAAATATTTTATGCATGAGAGGTATTTTTGAAAAGAATTCATAAAAAAATGTTTACGGTTTTCTTCCACATCATTCTTTCTACTTGTCATAAAGAATTCCCATCTACCTATCATCCAAATGTTAATTAATATTAGTATGACATGCTTCACATTGTAATTTATTTCATAATAGTTTAAAGACTTTTTACATATGTTAGTTAAATATATTTAATTCATCTAAAAAGTTATAAAAGATTAAAATGTTTATAATGGTTATGCATAATGTTTTACTTTTTTTTTGAATTATTTAAAAAATTTGAATAAAACCTTATTCTTCTATTGTGTTTAATTAAATTACTGTACTTTTATTTTTATCTATATATACACTTATGAGTAATGATTGATAAATTATTATTAATTAAAATATCATTTATCATTTTATATTTTATAAAATTAAAGAAAAAAAAATACCATATGAATATGTTATTATGTCATTGTTGTTATAAATTATAAAGTCTTATTCGATTCAAACATAATAAAAAATAAAAATTTATTCAAAATTTTTTGAATAATTTAAAGATTATTTTAGATATTATCTCTAATTAAGTGTATTTAATTCATCTAAAAAATTATAATACTTTTTTCTGAAGATGGTGACAGGGAAGTTTTGATAGAATTTTCCGTATTAAAAATGTGGATCCGTGCTGGAGTTGTGTTTCGGCAGTTTGGCATTTCTCCTCTTATAAAAACAAGACAAAAGGGGAGAAAAGATCAGGTTGGAGTGTTGAGTGTTGACCTTTGATTGCAGCAAAAACATGGTACAATCTCTCTTCTCTCTTTAATCTTTACTCTCTGGCTTGACCAAGTATGATAATGGTTGTGATGATGAATGGATTAATTGAGAACACAACTGCAGGCACATGAGGAGAAGAAACTGAAGCTCTATTCTTACTGGAGGAGCTCCTGCTCCTGTCGTATCCGGATTGCCCTTAACCTCAAAGGTAGCTTCTTTTCGATTCTCTTCTTTCTCCATCTATTACTAATTACTTTTGGCTATTGGCTTCTGTCTGTGGCAGGTCTGGAGTACCAGTACATACCCGTTAACTTGTTCAAGGGGGAGCAATTCAGTCCTGGTCAGAATGTTATTTACTTAATTTTTTATTTGTACTCTGTCTGGTTCTCTGATTAATTTATGTAACTGAAATGTTGAAACTGGAAAATGGGTAGAATTTCAAAAGCTGAATCCCATTGGGTATGTGCCGGTGCTGGTGGATGGTGACATTGTCATTTCAGACTCTTTTGCCATTTTCATGGTCTCTTTTCTTTTTCCCTACTATTCTATTCTAATATACCTATTACTTAGCTTGAGTTATTTGTTTTTAACAACTGTGAAACTAAACCAACAGTATCTGGAGGAGAAATACCCTCAACGTTCGCTGTTGCCATCTGATCTTCAAAAAAAGGCACTCAATTTCCAGGTCTCTGCTTTCATTTTTTTCTTCACTTCTAGTTACTCCATTCTTTACCCTCCTTTTGTTTATTTTTCTTCCATATATTTTTGCTAGGCAATGCATGGATGTGAAGTGCATTTTAAGCTGAGTGGCTTTGTATGATTATTTGACTAGTTAATCTAACTCAAAGCAGTGGATTCTGGGCTCTGGCTGCAAATTTTAGCTTCAATGATTAAACCATCATCTGCATACTTGCTCAAACTATGAATAGCTTGCTAATTCACATTGCTTTACTGTTTTCTTCTCAAAGCTTTGGGTTATATGCTCTGCTGTGCCTGGACTATGTTTTACTAAGTTATGCTGCAGTCTTCACTAATGACTTATTGCATCATTTTATAGGCTGCAAATATTGTTTGCTCAAGCATACAGCCTCTTCAGAATCTAGCTGTACTGGTTTGTCTCTAAGTGAAGTTGCTTCTTTTATGTATTCATTTCATTTTGGAAATCAGCAGATATTCTTATTCGCATTACTGAGATATATCGGAATTGCATTTAGTTTGCCACTTTTCCCTTTACAGAAGTACATTGAAGAAAAAGTAAGTCCAGATGAGAAAATTCCTTGGGCAAAACGCCATATTGAGAAGGGCTTTGACGGTAAGCACTACCTAAAGTGCTATCAGATAAGTATCCTCCTTACATGAAATGCCATAAGGGTTACTGGAAAAATGAAATGGAAAAAAGACCCATTTAAGGGAAACCATGCAAAAGAGGAAAAAAGAGTGGTGATAAATGGTGAATTTTACATTATAAAATTCAAGTTACTGGTGGACTGCAAAAGCTAGCTCCTTGTAATCACAATTCCACCATGTAAAACCTTGCATTGCTTCGTAGACAATGGTTCTGAGTTGCAAACAGCATTCTGCAATGTTTTCTGTTGCACCTTGCTGTCTTAGCAATATGTTCATATTAGTTTTATAATTTCAATATTTAGGTAGAAGTAACGAAAAGATAATCCACCAAACAGTTACCTTATTGTATCTCACCTGATAGCTGTGCATCTACTCCCTCTAAAAAATATATGGGACAAACACCAGATGGCATCACATAATGGTTTCAATCATCTGTGTTGGTTTTGTGGAGCTGTTAAAATTTGGGAGTTCATTAAGATTAATAGAATCACCTATTTATGCCATCCATTGTCTTGATAAAGTTCAGTAGGATGGGAAAGACTTTTCATATGTGAACATAAATTCTTTTGGGACTTAGAAAGTTTGAAATCTTGTCTAAGCAATCCATATTTTTAAACCATAGAAAAGATTTCTTGTTTGAGTGGAAGATTCTTAACTGGTAGAAGGACAAGAGTTCATACCTAATACATGTAATCTATTTCCACATGATGAGCTAGTTTTATGGCTTCTTGGGTGAAAATGAAGGGTAAGTTGAGAAACATTTGTAGGATTCATTATTAATGAGTTACATTTTTATGGTAGTAATCACAGGTTAGTAAACAGTAAACATAAAAATGAAACGAAAATGTAACTTTAAATTTGAATCGTTGGAAGATTGGAGCTGAAGTTTCAATTTATGATTGTTATTGCTCCCTCGAATGGATTTGGCATTGGATTTGATTAATAATTCTGTGTTTCAGCACTTGAGAAGCTGTTAAAGGACCATGCTGGAAGATATGCAACTGGAGATGAAGTTTTCATGGTTTGTTTCTTTTTCTCCTGTTTTTATTTTTGCGACTTCATGTGCAATATACTTGGTAAAGCAGGCAAACACATGCTTAGATGTGAGGGTTTGGAAGGCTTTTATATTTATTGCAGGATGTAGATGAGGGAGTTTTAGTATCACGTAGAATGAATGTGGTTTGATGGATTTTGTAAAGGTTGAGACAACCATGGTTGCAGAAGGGGAAGGGGTGGGGAAGGTGAACGCCAAAGACAATTTGTCTCTCTTGGCTTAGTAAGTCTGCAATCTCAGTGCTGGTGAAAACTGTTACATTTTCCTCCAGCAGTATGTGATGTGCAATATATAAACCAGTTGCCCTTTTGGGCAACATTTAGATGCAGTTCTGCCCTTGAACCATGACTTTGGAATTTTAGATGAAAGGAATTAGCTGTGGCTCTAAATTCTGTTTGATGTTACTAATATCGCATTGAGTTACTTGCTACAATGCCCTTTTAGAAGTGCACTACTAATGTACTGCAGAATAAGAAATTGCTGAAACTTTTTACCTAGATTACAAATCTTCAAAATATATACATATTATTACCTGTTGGCTATTGTTTTCAGGCTGATCTGTTTCTAGCACCACAGCTTCATGCTGGGATTAAAAGATTCAATGTTGACATGGTAGTCCACTTATTCCAGGAACTTCTACTTTCTGCATTTTCTTCCCTCTCTCTCTCTCTCTCTCTCTCTCTCTCTCACTCACACACACACACACACACAGAGCCTTTCGAAGTGTTTTGATTTGCTTGCTATACACAAACTATTTCTGCAGAGAGTGGAGTTACAGGGATAAATATTGCTTCATATGAG